AACGAGTAATTTCTTCTTGTTTTCAGCAACAGTTTGTTCCAGCGCTCCCCCAGCGCCTCCACCACCGCCTCCCCCATCTGCGCTTTCGCTGAGCAAAGGAAGCGGTAGTTCAATTGCGGAACAGCTAAAGAAAGTGCAACTGCGGAAAGTCAGTGCGCTGCAGTCGAGTTCTTCTGGAGCTGCATCCGGTAATGAATTATGGAAAAATTTCTTGCTTTTGTTCAAAAACAAAATTAAAAAAAAAATGCTCCGGCATTGTGATTCTGTGAATGAATCATCCTTTCTGGTGCACTTTTCGAATGGTTATTCAGAAGGCAAAAGAAGTGCGGAAAGAGCAGTGTGTGATTTCAGGTAGTGCTGCTACTCGTGGACACGATGATTTATTCTCGGAACTGGAAGCAACGCTCAGCAAGCGTAAAAATCAATGCGATAATGCTGATTCACGCTCCATTGGTTCGTTTCAGATTGAACAATATTTTCAGCGATCGTACACCCCTTGCCCTTATGTGGATCTGGTTATGCCTTACAAAGTGTTGAAGTACCGCGATCTTGAAAAGAAACTGATTGGAAGGCACTTTTTTGTCATATGTTGTCTAAGCAAAATGTATGCTTAGAGAGATGGTTGGAAATTACATATTATGGGGGTACACGTGGGTTTGCAGCCTGTGTTTCATCCCTTAGCCGCAAATATAGACAGAGAATCCGATGCAAATTGGAGGCCAAAAATTATGAGGCCAAAAGCTTTATATTGTTTGTATTAGAATTACATGAAGGTTATTTTTACAGTTTTCGACTTTTACGTTACCGCGGACAACACTCCCGAAATCACAGTTCTAAATTTCGTAATTCTGAAATTGAGTTAATGCTACAGACAGACAAATACATATGTACGTGCATACATGCATAAATACATACAATATAAATACATTGGTTTAATTTGGACGCAAGGCCGAAGGTCCAGGACAGAGCCTAGATTAAAATTTAGTTTCTAGGTTTTGGGCTTCGTACAACTTCACGGTTTCTTTTTTTGATGTTTTTTTTTTTTTTTTTTGAACTGCATCTCTTTTGTTTTTCAAGTCATATGACTAAAAAAAAATTGAAATGCGAGTTGATCTAGAAATTGGTTTTCATATTTTTGTAATACACCACAAAACCGCAGAAATGCACTACAGAAACGCAGAAAAGGAAAGCTCGGTGAATGAATGCACAGTTTTTCATTCAAAGCTGAAATTTTTTTTTACTATTCAACAAAACGAAGTTCAGGAAGTGACACAGCAGCATCGACAACGAATGCCACCAATGGTACTTTACGTCGTCCATGGGAGAAGCAAGTGAATGGCAATGGAAGTGTGACCGATTCACCAAAAACACATCGCAAGTAAGCTATTTTTGAAGTCTTCGGAACCACCGTTTATTGGTTAGCTTCAATACTCTATGTTGTTTTGAAGATTTAAAAATAGT